TATGAATGCAAATTCAACTGCGTGGGCAATCAAGGTAGCATTTAAGGATCACTAGAAACCTTTTTGACATCATAGGTGCCGAAACAGCATACCACTTTTTTCAGTGAGGTATCTGAGAAAGTTTTCCAACTCTCTTAAAACTTCCACGAAGCGNATACTGGAACCTCACTAAACACTTAACTGACATACTGACGAATCCTAAAAGCGTTTTTTGAGATGAAAAAGACGTACTTCTGTATTAAGGCGGCAACGTTTCATCTATATTCGATTTCCAAAGGCGCTCATTCATACTTCCATTACAAGGCCAACGCGAATTAAACACGTTCTGTCAGGGAAGGTGACTCCGATCCCGAATTATGTTGGCAGAAATTTTAATGAATGATTCACTATGACGGGCACGTTCGAAATTTATCGTCAGGGATGCACCCATCGTTGTCAGTTGGTGCCAAAAAAAATCCGTTTACTTGTAAACCAGGAGCCATACTTTAAAATATAAATGATTAGTAACAATTAAAATGTGAATTATGTCAATATCGGACATCGATTAGTTCAACATGTAAACACAGCCTCAAAAGTCAATCGAGTAATGTGTGGAGACAGATTGTTGTGACTGATTTTTGATACTTATAAACACTAAATGACAATAAAAAGTGAAATTGTCAGGAATTACCTATTTTTCAGCTTTTCTGCCCTAAAATTTTTGTTCGATACTATGTGCTATTGTTTTACACCAAGCGATACATCGAAACACTATCGAATACGATTAATTAACCCGATTTTAGCCTTTTAGCCCGAAGTAAACGCGGGGAAATGGATATGCACTTTCTTCAAAAACTCAATTCAGAAATCACCGATTTGCTTAACGCTATCCAAATTTTGATCTGTCACCGAAATTTTATTTTTTAGAAATTTGGCAGAGAATTTCGGCGAGCGGGACAGCTGTTTAATTTCGAGTCTCGCCCTCGTCAAAATTCCGAAGGAAAAGAGGAAAAACGGGAACCAATCCGATGGAAGTCACGAGTCATTGTTTACGAAGTTTCCTCGCCGTCTGCCTCTGCATACGAAAATAATCAACCGAGGAGGGGAAGGCGTTGTCGAACGCGGGGGGATGAGAGGGGTGGTTCGAATCGCGTCGTTGCGCCCTCGTGGGCCCGAAACGATGACACCATTTAGCCAATAGACCATTCGGATGCTAGTGAGCCAGAGAGGCGGAAAAGGGGGTGATTCTAGCGCCGGGATGCGGATGTATTAATTTCGATTTAGGCAAATTTGTCGCCTCCCCTCGTTCTTCCATCCCTCTGTCGTTGTTTTTTTGGTTTTGTTTGTTGGAGACTACACGATCAGCTGACAGGGTGCGCTTTTCATTTTTAACCAGGCATTAGTGTCCTGGAGTTCAAGTGCTGGATTGATTCAATAGTGCACACTAGAAAAAAAACACATTGGATGTAGAGTCCAGACTCTTGAAAACATTGACAAGAAAAAATACTCTTGATTCGCATTAAAACATGATTTCAAACATGAACAAGATTGATAAGGCAATTTGTAAGATTACACGCCTTATCAGTTCTGGCCTATAAACATCAAAATTAAGAAAATAAAGTAGAAAACGATGGTTTTCCCAAAAATTTGGGGGAGCCCTAATTTCAACTGAGGTTTTGGAAACAAACTCCAAATAGAATAATCGTCTTATTTTTACTCGTCAAACCTGCAATCTGATGGTTTAACCTTTGGCCAACCTATTCCATCCTCCAACACATGCCATTCCATGAAACCTCGAATCGCGCCTCACCCACAGCTTCTCTCTCCGTCCAGGAAGATGTGGTATTTTGATTTCACCGGGAACCCAATTAGCGATGTTTAGCGAGGGACTCGCCCCGCCGAAAAATAGGAGACAAGACTCGTTGCATTCCCAAGTGACGGGACCCACGAAACAGAGAGATTAGCGTATGATGTTTGGTCCCTTCTATCCGTCCCTTCTACCGTGCGGCCTGCGGCCTATCCCCGACGCTCGACCCAAGCCGCGAGCTCCAAGCAAAAGGACTCTCCAGACGGTGACCGCTCCTCGGGATTTTCCTCTGATGCTCCGAATAATCTCGCCCGAATCCGCGCAACCCACGATCCCAACGAAAAGTCAAGTCTCTTGAGTCCAATGTTGCCGGCGCATGAGGACCAATGAATAGAAGTTGTACAATGGACCACTAGACAAGGTACGAATTGCAGTAATCTGATACATGTTTCTGAACCGAAATTTCACGTAGAACACGATTAGTGCAACGAATATCACTGAAACTAACTCCTAACGAAGATATCAACGTTTTTATTTCACATTGGTTGCGAGGAATTTGAACTGCCCACTCACAAGAAACTCAAAGCTCTACGTGAGTCAAATTGCGCACTACAACGGTTGCAGCAAGCTTCTGAATCGAGCAATGTTCATTTCCCACCATGTGTTGTTCATACTATAAGCAATTTGCTACAGCTGAGCCAAAGCGTCATGATTGTGGTTGCCAGATTTATATCGCAGAGACTGTCATGATAAGATTCAGCGCGCGATGTGAATCACGTAGAGCACTGAGTTTTAATGAGCGGGTGGTTTGAACTCACGCATCGGGAGTCATTGAAGTTGATTTTGGTCATTTTTGTTGTGCGCATCGTGTTTTACGTAAGATTTTGGTTAAAAAACATGTATCAGAATGCTGAAATTCGTACCTTGTCTAGTGGTCCATTGGGTCTTTGCGTAATTTTTATATCACAACAAAATCTCTCTACCGAAACATTCTGCCGTGCTGAGGAAAAACGTCGTATGGACATTCGAGAGTTGCCGAATTTACTTCGATAAAATGTTCAATTTTAAGGACAGTTATGAATATTTTCCCTTGAAATTTTTAGGGGCTTTAGGTGAAATTTCGAACGAAATTATCTGAAAATTTGGAAGGAAAATATTCATAGGTTCACCAGTAAATTCGTGTTTTATCGAAGGAAATGTGGCACCGTCTGAGGGCTCATACGGCGTTTTTCCTTGGCACGGCAGCATTGTAGGTAATATCGCACAAAGATCAGAAGTGTCTGAAATGCACCCAAAAGAAAAAAACGAGCTGCGTAGCTCATTAGGGTGTTCCGTTTTTAGACAACCATCTCAAAACCTTGCTCCCCAGGCTTTTTCCCATTCCTTTTGGTCCCCAAAAGATAATTCTGAAGTTTCAGCACCATAGCTGAAGTCTACACTTTCCCCCAAAGCGATGCAAATTTTGGAAGAAATTACATTGGTTTAAATGGGGAGAAAATAGGCAAATTCCCGGAACTACGTTTTTCGGTTGTAAAATGCGCCGAAATGATTTCAGACCTGACCATCTCTTGGAAAGTGATCCAGAGGCCTATTTTGAACGAGAAAATTCCACTTTTGACCCAAAGAGGGGGGAGGGGGGGTCAGGGCGCAGTTAGTTTTGAGGCGCTGCGCGCAGCAAAATGCTCGCATTTGACAGTTTTTGATCAACCTCAGAACAGGTCCTCCGAAGCTGAGGAGGCTAATGTATCTCATAAATTGTAATAAAATAATGTAAAAGAGTTGTTTTCATCCCTTCAGAACTATTTTCGACCATTTACACTGTTGCCAAAATCACTCAAGTGAAGAAGATGATATACACTAATTCCCTTCCAGGTTCGAGTAAATTTGGCAACAGTGTAAATGGTCGAAAATAGTTCTGAAGGGATGAAAACAACTCTTTTACATTATTTTATTACAATTTATGAGATACATTAGCCTCCTCAGCTTCGGAGGACCTGTTCTGAGGTTGATCAAAAACTGTCAAATGCGAGCATTTTGCTGCGCGCAGCGCCTCAAAACTAACTGCGCCCTGCCCCCCCTCCCCCCTCTTTGGGTCAAAAGTGGAATTTTCTCGTTCAAAATAGGCCTCTGGATCACTTTCCAAGAGATGGTCAGGTCTAAAATCATTTCGGCGCATTTTACAACCGAAAAACGTAGTTCCGGGAATTTGCCTATTTTCTCCCCATTTAAACCAATGTAATTTCTTCCAAAATTTGCATCGCTTTGGGGGAAAGTGTAGACTTCAGCTATGGTGCTGAAACTTCAGAATTATCTTTTGGGGACCAAAAGGAATGGGAAAAAGCCCGGGGAGCAAGGTTTTGAGATGGTTGTCTGAAAACGGAACACCCTAGTAGCTCATATCAGGCTTTTTTTAAATGTACCGCCAAAATAAGCTCCTTTTTCGTATCTAACCGAGAGGAAAAAAGAGAGATGGATCACGGAAAAAAGAGCACGGAGTTGTTGCATGATATGTACATTTCCAATAGATTACGGTAGTGCCCCAATTAATTGTGGTGGTACACCGATTAAATGTGGTAGTGCCCCAATGAATTGTAGTAGTGACCCAATGAATTGTGGCAGTGTCCCAAAGAATTGTGATAGCACCCTAACAAATTAGGTTACTAACCCACATATTGCGGTACTACTCCAACTTGAGTTTCGGTACTACCACAATTAATCTGAAATGTATTATCATCAACCAAATAGGGGTAGCACCACGATTTTTGGGGGTTACCCCCGCACATTTTTCTCCTCGCGGTATGAGAAAATGAACGCTAAATAAACGTGTAATCTTACAAGTTGCCTTATCAATCTTGTTCATGTTTGAAATCATGTTTTAATATGTTCGTTCCTTTTTTCATTTTTTAATAAAAGAAAAACAACGACTGAAATCGTGGGTTAAAAAGATTGAAACAGTGCACAGCCCCTGATCGCAAACGAGCGATGTTTTATAAACGCCTTCAATTCATAATGATACAACGCAATACATCAGTGCTTGACAGGTGGCATCATTAAAACTGACCAATCGTATACAAAGAAAAAAAGTATTAATTTGTTCCATTTTCTCTGTAACGACAGATTTTGATATTTTTTGTGGGAGAGGTTGTTTATAAATGTAAAGCGGTTTGATTCCCGTTTTTCGATTGTGTTGTAACGTTAATTTTTTGCTTTACAGGGCGTGGTTAGAATGGAGCGGTTTGTGGTTCTGGCGATGGTCGCTGTGGTAGCTGGAAATCCAGAGGCGAAACGCCTTTACAACGACTTGCTCAGCAATTACAACCGACTCATTCGACCCGTCGGAAACAATACGGATAGACTGACCGTCAAGATGGGGCTCAAACTTTCACAACTCATAGATGTGGTAAGTGCACGCCGTTCTTTCATATGTCTGAGTAACTTTTAATTAAGGTTGAGTCTCATTGGATTACACTTACTGTTGCTTCCGAAATGAATTAAAAAAACTTGCACAAGCGCATCAACTTTCAAGGTTTGACTCATCTCAATTCAAGCTTTTTCTCAAACTTCCATGAAAGAAAATGCATTCATTGAAGACAAAATGATGATGTGACAGCATTTTGCAGTTTACAGAAAGTTTCAAAACGTGTATTGTGCATTTTGGATCCTGCAGTGAAACACCAACAAGACACGAAGTATTTCATTGTTTTCTGTTTGAAATTGTTTACTGTGGGTTTGGAAATGAACCCCTGAAAAGGAGACACGATGCAACATGTTAATTAATTTTAGGGTAGAAACACAGAGAACGTAATTCGTATTATTTACGCTCCACCTAATCAGTGCTGATTCGCGCATATCTCGCTTGGGGTTGACTTCCGAATTCCGTGCCCCGGACTAGATTGTATTGCAATACTTAAAATTTTGAAAAAGGAAGCGTTTTACGTGTTGCTGTCATTCTTGCCTTGTCTAGTGGTCTACTGTATGTTTCAGTTTATTCTTTGTCAAGGACTATTCAATCTAAGTAGACTTAGAAACTTAATTTAGAAACGAACGGTTTTTTTAGAAACTTCTAAGAATAAAGAAGGAGAGAATTGAAACATGGGTAAACAAGGCTAAAACATTAAAAATACTAGAAGGCGGGGCGTTTTGAGCTGTTACCAGCTCATTTTCAGCTGCAAAAAACACAAAAAACAAGTAAAAAATTGATTGGCGACCTGACCCCGTCCGTTATCACGTAAACATCAGTACAGAATATCCGAGGCAAATGATAACAGCTGATGTCAGGTCGCCACTGAATTTTTTACTTGTTTTTTGTGTTTTTTTTTGTAGCTGAAAATGAGCTGGTAAGAGCTCAAAACGTCATACCTTTTAGCGTCTTTAATGTTTTAACCTCTTGTTTACCCATGTTTTAATTCTCTCCTTCTTTATTCGTATATTCGAGCAATGTTTTGTGTACTTTATCGTAAACTTCTAAGGCGGGTTTGCATTTGTGTGTGAGGGTTAGGGCGAGGGTGTGTGTGTGTTACTGACAAATTATTATGGCCTTTCATTTTCACGCTGAGGGCACCTAAGTGGTCTTCTAATTTTGTTTGTCGATCGTGTTGGCATTTAAGAAACTTTTTAACCGAATCGTTGTCGGGCGAAACTAAAGAGCGCGCTTTTCTTATGGCCGCGGTTACTTTCACAAGTTGTTTGTAAGTCGGGCATGATGATTCCAAAACGGAAGCCTTATTTACATTTTAAGCTCCTTGCGTCGAGGAGCGCTCTCCTTGCGGCCGGGCCGGCTCGCTAGAAACGAGTTTTGATTAAATTCATAAAACTAACAACCCATCGAGTGTTCTCGGAAAAGTTAGTGTCAAGTTTAACCAATATTTGTGCGTCCTCTCCTGACCGGAGACGCCGACGACGGATGCCGAATCTCCGGAAAATCAGGAGTGGCGTTTTCTTCATGGAAAATAGAAAAACACTGATTTTCCAAACAAATTTATGAAGTAGCAAGGTGGAGAAATGGTGCTGGGTCCACATCATTTCGAGGGAAAACAAAGCCAAAAAATTCCAAAAATTAAAATTAGAGTCAAAATTCAGGCAGTTCGCATTAGAATACCCCGCGAAATGGTGTGGACCCAGCATCATTTCTGCACCTTGTTACATGCAGTTTGGTTCACTTCTTAGTGTTTTTTTCATTTATAAAGTAGTTGTTTTTTTATTTTTCATTTTAATTTTTTCAATCTTGAAAAAGAGAGCACTCCCGATTACCAGCGGGATGATTTTTGAAATTTTTAGACAAAGTGATGAACAAAGAAGGCTCTATTTTGCCGTGCTAATGAAGAACACCGTATGAACCTACAAATGTTGCCAAATTTCCTCTGATAACATTTATTTTGAGGAGAGTCGTGAATATTTTCTCGCGAAATTTTTAAATAATTTAGATCAGATTGCGGATGAATTTTTTTGAAAAATTAAAGTAAAAACACACACGGATTTTCATGGGAATTCAAATTTTATCCAAAAAAATTTGGGAACGTCTGAAGGCTCATGCGATGTTCATTCTTGGCATGGCAGAATTGGTGGAAGCGGGTGGTTGCATTGGACAAGGCAGGTACCTATATAATAGACTAACTAAACAACAACAATGAAGACCCTATAGTTGGTTCATCCTTTACTCCCTTTGTCTATAAGAACCACCTTTTTCCACCAAAAGGATCCCTCCATTTTCCTTTTGTCTTCTTTATCTGTAGCTTCGTCTGTATCAATTTCAATAATTAGCCCTCAGAGTCACTAACTAGTCATTACTTTGAGTCAGTGATGCACTATTAGAATTAGGTATTAAAATATAAACTGAACATAACGTTCTTATTAACGTAGCCTAAACTACGTAACTGGCATTTACTGACTGGAACAGAATAACGTGGCTGAGCGTAAACTATATGAGCGTGAGCTGAATTAGGTATGTAATTTAAAAGAAATCTAAAATGTAATTTTACGTTGCCTGGATTGAGGAGGACGTTAAAATTACCTACTTAACGTTAACTGAATTAGGACAAGATATTAATGACGAAATTGAAAATGTTAGTGAAAAATGTTGATCAATTTTGAGAAATGACGTGACGATACAAGACGCACTTATTATGGCGAACTTCTTTATCGTTTGAAGCAAGTAATTCTGTGCTCCGATCCCCTGTAAATGTTTAATTAAACTTCCTGGTATCATCCCCGTGACTGGCATTGTGCGGAATTCGGTGTCGTAAACAATTTTCAGGTTCCATTTAGACGCCTAATTTCCGAAGCGAATGGCGCAGGTATTTTGCTTACTTTTCTTGATATCCCAGCTCTAAGCTTCGTTCGTTAGGAATGATAATATCGATTATGCTAGCAGTGCAATTCTTAACGAGTATTTTGCCATTATAATTTTCATAGTATTAATTAATTATCAATCTGAAAACAAGCCGTGATTTTTAATCATCACGTTGATTTTTATTTTTATGATTTTACGAAAGTATATGATCCCTTGGAACTATTCCATCTTCAGGTCTCTTTTATTTATGTCACAACTATCTCAAACGTAATTTTTTTCCTTTTTTTTCTTTTCTTTGAAAAAACCGGCAAATTATCACTAAGCACTAACTTCGTGAAAGTACCTCTAATTGCGTGTGTTTGCTCGTATATATACATTTTGTACGAGTAGATATAAGTTCTTTATCCCTTTTAACTAATGCCTGCATGCGTATTCCATGCAAACGTTGTACATATCGACAGTGTAGGTCCACGACGACGTATCTCGGTTTACGACGTGGCAGACTTCCTGTCATGCTTTTTTTTTTGCATGGAAAACTTCTCAACGGCAATGGACCACTAGACAAGGTACAAATTTAAGCATTCTGATACATGTTTCTCAACCAAAATTTCACGCAGAACACGATTCGCGCAACAAAAATGACTGAAACCAACTCCAAACGAAGATATTAACGTTTTTATTTCACATTGATTACAATGAATTTGAACTGCCCGCTCACAAGAAACTCAAAGCTCTACATGAGTCAAATCGCGCACTACTTCGGTTTCAACAATCCTCTCAATCGAGCAATGTTCATTTCCCACCATGTGTTGTTCAAACTATAAGCAATTTGCTAAAAGTGAGCCAAAGCGTCAAAATTGAGGTCGCCAGATTTTTATATCGCAGAGACTGTCATGATTAACGTTTAGCGTGCAATGTGAATCACGTAGAGCATTGAGTTTTCATGAGCGGGTGGTTTGAATTCACGCATCAAGAATTATTGAATATCTTCGTAAGGAGTTGATTTCGGTAATTTTCGTTGTGCGCGTCGTATTTTACGTGAAATTTTGATTAAGAAGCATGTATCTGAAATTCGTACCTTGTCTAGTGGTCCATTCTTAAAACTGCCGTTATTTTCCTTCCCTGTGCAAGGGAAATTCCATGAAAATTTCAACCAATGATGCTGATTTGTTCTTGTTTAAGAGAATGAAATGGGACCTTAGATTTTCAAACACCGCAAACGAGATACGTGGTTGGAGACGTACACCGTCGATATCCCTTACTCGTCATCTGTACACAACTGCTGATGCAGCATGCACCCAATAGATAACCGGTCACCTCTTGTAGATATATTCCTTCGGATTTTCTTTCATTCTCTATACCTCTCTTCTTTTTTGTCTTGCTGATTAACATACATTGTTTGACGGCTCGTGGTTTTTGCTGTTTTGAATTCTGGAACGGACGTGAAGCAAAGATTTTGCGGAAACGCAAAAAACCCACGCTGTACTTCCGAAAAAGGGTCCGTAATGCCTTGAAAACGTCTGTAAAATCCTTTCTTCATTTTTTTTTTTTTTCAAGTTCTTAAGCATCCTTGAATTTTAGGAAGTTACTTAAACGTACGTATGAGTCCTTGAATTGTGCATTATTTGGTTATTTCATTTATGACCACTCGAAAGATTGTTTTTCATTCTTTCTCTGCGGAGACTTCTAAGTATAAGGCACTTGGAAATTCCTGAATTTTAGAAATTAGAGCTCCTTGAAACGCCTTCCAACGTCTTTTATTTCGATTTTGAAAATGTTTCATTAACTTTTAGGAAAGGAGATAAAAGTCGCAATAAATCGGCAAAATAAACCTGTAGAGTGTGCAAAGTGCAGAGTTTTCGATTGAAGCGGCCAGTAATGAGAAACGTTGAAACCGGGAAAATCCGCAACTGTGCAAGAGTCGAAGAATCGAAAAGTAAAACGATCAGTCAGAAAGCATGGGCGGTACTTCCGACAAGATAATTACGGACGGTTTGGGGCGGCTCAAAAAGAGGGTCGAAAGGGCGAAAGCAAAAAAGTCCACATTCACCATGCATCCTGTACAAAAACACCCCCGCTGTCGGGGAACTCCATGCCAGTAAATAAAAGAT